AGTATCACTGCCATGTTTAGTATTAATATTAAACTCCATGATGGCAGTTCTTCTGATAGAAAACATTACTACATTTTATCACAGTGAAATAGTGACCCAACATGGTCCCATTTGAAATTTGTTGGCCAGTTAAGTATAGGTCAATAAAATACCCAAATGTGGCAACAGAATCCCTCAGATGTCTTCTGCTTCATTATAGTCTCGGCTCTATTTATATTAGTTATGTAGTAAAGATGAGCATTCTCTAGATGAGGCTGGATTGTAAACTATAAATTCTGTGCCAAAGGATCTACAAATAATCATTAGGCAGACTCAAACACACAGMCTTCTCCAGAGCTGTTTTATAATTTCTTTTACAGTCATTTAAGAAAGCTGAGAGCAAAAAAAGGAACATTTACCATAAATGTTGACCACTACACTATTAAACAAAAAAAGAGAGAAGTGTTTTAGGAAATGAGAGGAAAAAAGCTTATTTGTCAATGTTCTGTTATTTATATATTAGCACCTTTGAGCCTAAAATTAAAAAAAAAAATTCAACAGCATTTACAACTCATGTTCTGTTTCAGTTATGTGGATGCTCATCCAAAAGCAGATGAACAAAAGAACAGAACAGCATAATAAAATATGTACTTAGTGGACACTTATGAATGGAATGAAAATTAAGTTTGCATGGAGTCCATTAAAGTCTTCCATTAACGGAACTGGGGGTTATGGCTCAGTGTTAGATCACATGCCTAGCATGTGTAAGGCCCTGGGATCAATTCCCAGCACCACATTTAAAAAAAAAAAAAAAAAAAAACCCTAAATGAAGAAAATAAAGATATTGTGTCCATCTACAACTAAAAATATATTTTAAAAAAATCTTCATTAAAAATATCCTGATGCAGAAGATTCAATTATTGACATTGCCAATATGATGCTGTTAATAATTTTGATTATATGGAAATAAAATCTGTTGTAAAATTTATTATATTATTGTTGTTTATTATGTCAAAACCAGGGCAAGCTATAAAGGTAATGAAATACACTTAATACTATTGCAATAACACAGAACATATGGCCATAATCAAAGTAAGTTTAGTAGAGCATGAAGTTTGGTACCTTCAGGAAAACTATGATTCTCTAAATTATTTACCTAATTAATGGGCAAGGAGACTGTAAATGAATTTAACTCATTAGTTTTCAAAGTGAAAACTTATATTTATTTCTAAAACAGAAATATTATGCTTGACAAATATTATAAATCACACCATGTAAAGACAATATCCCAGTGTACAATGTTTCTGTCTTCGTGGTATTAGGGAAAAGAAAAAAATATTTTTWAAATATGTTTTAATTTAAAAAAAATTTTTTTTTGGTTGGTGATAAGGGGGAAGGTGGAAATATCCCTAAGATTTTTAACGTAAAGTACTACCAAATGCCTTATTTACTTAATCTGTATTCATGAATAACTTTGCTTGGGAAAGAGTCATCAATTGGTGAAGCAATCAATCACAGTGGGCTACTATAATATAAAGAAAATGCATCAACTTTGTAAGTACTATAACAACCTTAGGGGTTAAATAGCTCTTAGTATTTTTAAAGTGGCTACAAAAGGAATTCAACAGCAAATAAACACTTGGGATAGATCACTTGCTTAAATTTAAAATATTATCACCTCACTTTTTGAATTTTGGCAATAAAACTATTTTATTTCATTAGCTTTGTTCATATAAAAATGCATACTGCATTTCAGCAGATGGCAAATATTTAAAACTTCTAAGATACTCCTATATAAAAACTACACCTAAAATAATATACAAGACCAAACACAATGACCTAAAAGTATTCTTACTAGATATAATTCTTTACAATTCTTTTATACATTTTCATTTTTCCTTAGTTATTGTGCCCACATACGAATATGTAAACAATACTGGGTTCAGCAAACTTTCAAACATGGCGATGAATACGCCAGAACATTTAGGACATGGCATTTCAAAACTTCCTAATCATAATCTTAGTTTAAGACAAATTTAGTCATTCTACCCTTTTATTTCTAAAGTTACTACTATGAGAATCAACATGATTCTCAAACTTAAGTGAATAAACAGTGAGAATCCAGTCTAGTCACATCAGTGTAATCAATTTTTATTTTTTAAAGAAAAATAGCAGCCACCAACTTTTTGAGTTGAGAACATATTTCTACAATTCCTATTTTATTTTATAAATTATTTCTCTTTAGCATTCTACATAAATCTTAAACAGGCAGACCAAAATTTTCTTTATTAAGAAACATGAGCATGTATTATGTTTGTGTAGGTATGTGTGTAGGCTTTAATAAAAATTTATCTGGAAAATAAACTTCAAGTTATATTTTACATTTAAATAAGCACTTTAAAAACACAAAATTTAGGGCTGAAGGTTTAACTCAAGTGAGCACTTACCTAGCGTGTACTAGGAGAGTTATAGGGGGCTGGGAACACACTAAACCAARAGCATTAAGTTTAAAGCCACTTTCTAAGCCATTCATTTTGACCAGTTTTAAATTTTTGTGTAATATTATAAAATATACTGTTAAATCTCAAAGAATTTCATATACTACATTAGTTTGACAAATATTCCCTTCCCACCCTCCAAATAAGAACACTGTTATCACCTTAATTTTGTTAGGAGTCAAAAAAAATTTTATTTAGGAAAAATATTCCCTTCAGTGTTGATTAGACAGTGAATTTTATTTGAGTAATTTACTCTTTTGTGCAGACCAATTTAAAGTATGCCTCTTTTTATAAACAATCTGACTCATTCTGCATGGCAGATAAGAAAATTAATACTTCTTTCTACCTTAAAATTCAGATTTTCCTCATTATGAATTATTCCTGTATGGACTGCTATTGTGCTATTGCTAAAAACAGAGTTAGTAAGGAAAAGAACACATGGGAAACAAACCATAAAGCTATAATACTAGTTAATAATAAAATATATTAAACATTATTTAAATATTAAACAGCAAAATAGTCCTTCTATATTAAATAAATAAGATTTTAATTTGTCATTTGGGAATATAGGTCAATACCACAATAGGAGGGATGGTCTAGTGCAAAGAGTGACCTCACACAAAACACACCCACACACATTAGAAAAGGAGAATGAGGTGGAAACACAACATTTAATACTGGTTTTGTTTTCAAATAACAAATTAAACCAGTGATTCTCCTTCCTTCTTGCATTTTAAATTACCTCGAGAACTTCTGAAAAATACTGAGATCAGGTCTCATCCCAGATAAATTAAATGAGAATAGGCATTTAGTCACAGATATTTTTTCAAAACTCTCCAAGTGATTCCAATGTTCAGTGTTCAGATCTATTGATTGAAATCTATGTGCTTCTTTCTTATTGTTACTTGACTCAGAAGACTCCAAGGAATAAAGAAACAAAAGCCCTCCTTTACAGTCAGAACACACTAGGGTATCTCCAGTTAATAGTAACTTATGGGTAAGTCAAGTTTATTAATGTGCTCTTCATTTCCATTAAATTATCTACTTATGCCTCTTTCCCCTGTTAATTCTGTATTCCCAAACTCCAAGATCAAGTATCACCAAACTACGTTTCTGTAATAAACCAGTTACAATGAAAATACATCACTCATTCATGCATATAAATATTTACTGAATGCCTACTATGTGCAAGGCACTGTCTTAGGTGCTGCTGTAGAACTGAGTCATGGGAGAATAAATAGTAATTCACTGAGAGTTTTGTTTTGTGGGGTTTTTAGAATTAGTCATTATAAAATTAATTACATGGACCTAAATAAGGGAACAAATGGTCAAAGAGAGAAAAAGTAACCCAAGTGCATACTAAGACTCTGATTTTTAAGTACATGGAATAGCATATTTGTACTTTTCCTAATGTTCCATACAATATTTCCAGAAGCCTTTGAATATACATAAGGAAAATTCAAAATAGAAAAATAAACCTTGTTCAAAGATGTTAATTTTAACCACACTCTGTATCAAGTAAATTTCATGTATCAGTATAAATACCAAAAATCTTTATGGAAAGGTAGTCCATGTCCACTTGTAGTAGTCTTAATAAGTAATCTTACATAAAAATATTACAGATTCTAGTACATGTCTATTTCATCATGGAGTTTACACAATACATAATTTGAGAACAGATTCATATGCTGAGAAATTCTAATGTGAACAAATTGAGTTTTCTTTTATCTTCAGAAAGAGTAGATGCAAAGAAAGGGGGAAGAAAATGAGAGCAGAATCTGTTCAAACCTAATAAACATACTAAAATTTAATAATTTAAAATGCTGACTGCTTTTCTTTTGGAGAGCCTTGTGAATTCCCTCTGAATAATATCTTATTTTTATTATTGATAAGGACTTTTGTCATTACTTAAAATATAAATAATAATTGCTTCTCATTTTAAAGACAGCATTAAATTTCAAAAAATGACTAGAGAATATCAGCTTGATAAGAAAGGGCTAAATGTTTATATATTTTTTTAAAAAATGTTAAAGAGAGAATCACTGTGAAAAAAAATGACATAAGAAAATGGTCAGCAACAGTTCTAATGGTAAAAACAATTTAGGGGAATTAAACTTCCCAGGAGTTTTTAAGAAGTAAAAGATTATTAAAAAAAAAAAAAAAAAAAAAAAAAAAGACTCCAGGACCTTGAATGCAACACTCTGTCTAAAGTAGAGAAATAGTAAAATATTTTACTAAGTTAAAATATAGGTTTTACATTTTATACCATATTGAATACACACAAAAATACCAGTGTTTTTTAATCTTGTTTCTGTTCAGACACTTAAGCAAATGATCTTTGGTGCCCGGAAGTTTATCAATAGTTAGGGATAATGGAAGATAAAGAAGTCCAAAATTGACAAAGAAGACTCAAAATCCTATACCATATAAAATAACAAGAAGGTTATACTGCAATGGTGCTGATATATACTTTCCCTCAAATCATACTCTAGCTTCCAAAATAAGCTGCTATATAGCCAATCATGTTTTTAATTTGTGTTTTGAGATTTTCCAACAGGAAAGGTATCACAAATAGAAATATATCATTCTAAGATTTAAAATTATCAAGTGAGAAGAATGTACATTCATCAAATGTATTCATTTATAAGAAGTCTTGAAAAGGCTGAACAGTCAACCAAAGCTGAAGAACTGTTGTGGATTTTTCATTATTTCTTTTTAAATAAAGAATACATGTAGACATAGCATACATACAGGTTGAAATTTTGATTCATTCAAAATAGTCACATCCCTTTGCTTGGTTTTTGAAGTTCCAGAGTCTAAAATTTAATACCATTCATAACACAGTATTTTCAGTAAAAGGAATTATAGAGCAATGAAAAATCAGAAGCAAGATGGCTTAGAGAGCCTTATAACTTCTAAATATACACACATTTATAACCTGTATTTATTTTCTAAAGAAACAAATTTTAAGTAATGCTAATTTAACCAATAGAGAAAAAACTTCTATCAAAATATACAATTTCCATTACAGACTAGAAGGCTAATATTAAAAAAATAGTTATAAGCCAAAAAAGTTTGCTTATATGGATGACAGGCATCATCCTTTTGAAGCAAAAGCATCAAATAAGGTCTTATAAAAGATTGATCTGTGACCTTCTTCATTTATAAGTTCCTGATAAATTCATAAAGCTTGAGTCTTTAGATCAAGGTATATCCATGCTTCTTAATCCAGATTTTTAGAGATGGAGGAACCAAATAAGTCAGAATCTCAAGTGAGATTTATGCTTTACCATGTACCTGAAAGACAATTTCACAATAGGTTATAATTATTACATGAGTTTCAGAATTTTTTAGAATATTATACATAAAAATAAAAACTTAAAATCAACAGTGGAACAAGATGTTTTGTTTTCTAAGAGACTAGCAACTTGATACTACAAACTTTGAAATATAAAGACTTTTGAATTAAGCAATTTTATTAAATTCTATAACCTAAGACTCTAACTAGGAAAAATGTTTCTCTTTAATATATTATCAGTTATAATCATATTATGCTACTTCAATCACCTGACTTTGAGAAAACCTATAAAATCCAGTGAGAGACTTACACCAAAAAAATAGTAGATTTTAAGGAACATCTCATCTCAAGAGAACAACAGATTTAGTAGTATTAATTTGATCATATGCTCTTCTTCAATTTGTCAATTAATAAAGTAAAGAACTTCAAAACTCTATTTATACTAATTAAAATAAAATTTAAAAATTCATTTCTTTTCATGATTTTCCCATAACCCAAATAAACCCAGAGTTAGGAACCTTTTAGTTCTTGGTATCACTAATGCTAAGAACTGGCATCACTTAATCCATACCTCTTGGATAGATACAAAATGTGGTTCAGAGAGGTCAGATAATTCATTGAACAAATAACAAACTAATACACACCTCTGAGTCGAGTTTATTGTTTCTTCTAATAGACTAAAAATCTTTTCTTTGCCTTTTTTTTTTTTTTGGTACTTTGTATTTTTGGCACTGGGAATTGAACCCAGGGGGGGCTTTACCACTGAGCTACTTCCCCAATCCTTTTTTATTTTTGTATTTTGAGACAGGGACTCACTAAGTTGTTTACGGCCTCATTTAGTTGCTGAGGCTGGCTTTGAACTTGCAATCTTCCTGCCTCAGTCTCCACAGTCTCTTAGATCACAGGCAAGCACCGCTATATGCCCTGCTTCTTCATCTATTTCTAAAGTCAATATATCAAACATATTTGTTAGTTATCTCTTAGAGATCAACATCAAATTACACAATGCTCAAAAAAGAAGGGAATGAAGGAATATGGTTCACAACTTTAAGAAACTTAAAATTTAACCAAGGAGACACGAAAATTACTACAATAAAGTAAAGGTAAGTATATTTTAGGATCAGAATTACCTATCCAATGTTTCCCAGAACCGTAAGAAAACTGGTCTATCCAAATGACGTTTGTGATAACTGAGTTCTAACACTGTTACATCCCATTTTTGAACGTTTGGATCTAGACGAACTTCGTCATACTTGAGATGAAAGGCTTTAACTACACGGGAAGCAGGAAGAAAAAAAAATACTACTTTTTACTCAAACTATAATCAACATTATAAAACATTTTATGGAAGTATAAAAATATTATCCACCACATACACAAACTAGAACAATTAAAAAAAAAGACCTCCTTTTCCACCAACTGAAATTATATCATAAACAAAGTAATCTTTTTAAAATTTTTTTATTTGTTAAAGTGGTCTTTTTAAATACTTGTTAAACATGCAATGTCATAAAAATGTTCAGTTTGACAAATATTTAGTGAGGGCTCATATATGCCAGCTACTGGGGACTACTTACATTTTACTGTAAGATAAAATGCACATGACTCAGTAAGGAATAATAAGAAAAAGACTATCCAAATACACCATAATCAGGGTACTTGGAGTTTCTCAGAGACCATGAATTCAGAAAAGGCTTTCATTGTCAGTGACGTTTATCTAACCTAAGGCCTAAAGGCCAAGTGAGAAATAAGCAAGCAGAGAACAAAAGTGACCCATTATCAAGAGCATACTCAAAGAGAAAATGGCTTAATCTAGGATAAGCAGTAACAGAACTGCATCATGAAAAGTATAATATAGGGAAAGGATAAGGGATAAGACCATATAAGTCAAGAGCCATGTTGGGCGTGTAGGCTATATTAAAAGACATGGATATCACCACAAAGCATTAAATAGAATCTACCACAATTTAGTAATGTAGAGGATAAAGAGACGGCGTTCTTTGTATGGGTAGAAGACACTTGGATAGCAAGAGGAAGATTCAAGAAATCAGGGAGAGGGGAAATGGGAATAGGAAAGACAAAAGAATGAATCATATATTATTTTCCTATGTTCATATATGAATATATGACCAGTGTAACTCCACATTATGTACAACCACAAGAATGGGAAGTCTTACTTCATACATGTATGATATGTCAAAATACATTCTATTGTCATGTATAACTAAAAAGAACAAATAAAATTTAAAAAAAAAAGAAAAAAGAAATCAGGGAGAACAGGACTTAGTAAAAAGTGGTAAAAAGGGAGAAAATATATTTGTAAGTAAAGATCTATCTAGCACATAGTTAGTGCTTACTATATATTCTGCACTTTTCTAGGCATTAAGGATATAAATTTACAATCTTTCTCTATCCCTGACAACCAGCTGAATCATACCAGGTAGTTTATTCTTGTATTTGCAGTCAGTTTACCATCAATGGATATGTTACGCATGCACATACACAAAATGTTTTAGATTTTTTTTCCTCCAATTTTTTAGTCTTCTTACTAACTCTATGATTTTTACTTTTTTTTATTTTAATAATCATCACCTAGTGTCAGAGGCTTCCAAAGAGACAACAAATGACTTTGTAAATTTTTTGGTAGTACCTTGATGAATTGCTTGTTCTGTAGTGCTTGCTGGCATATTGGCTTTTAATATTAACAACCAATTAAAGGTCAATTCTTGATGGAAATTTAAAATGCATAATTTGTATGGGGAGGGGAGTATTGTTTGTAAATTACTTTCTTTTAGAAATGGAAGTCTCTTCCTCAAACACAAATTATTCATTCTGAATTTAATTAAACCAATTCACAAAAAGGACTATGTGAAGTTCGGAAAACTCATTAAATATAATCCCACAATTTCAATACTTTCTATTCTACTTACTGCATGTTTTACTTTTCTAATTTGCTTACTGATTTGTTTTGAATCCTTCTTTAAAATATGTTAAAAATAGTTACTTTTTTAAAAAATGACTTATCTCAAGCCATAACAATCTATAATCTCCTTTAGTAATTTCAAGTTTTAATTATTTTTCCACCAAAATAATTTAAATTAAAGCTGTATATTAAAGTCCAAAAGTTCGATCCTTAGCACCACATAAAAATAAATGAATAAAGATATTGTGTCCAACTACAAGTAAAAAAAAAAAAAAAAACCTGAGGACAAGAAATAATTTGAGAATGAGGAAGAGAGTAAGACAACTGATTCCTTTTGGAAAAGGCTGAGTTCAAAGTACCAGGGCAACATCATCAAGGAGTTACCTCACAGTTAGTGAGATGGCCAGAATATCAAGCCAGAGACATAACTTTTAAAATAGAGAGATACAGATGGAGGCTGAAAGACCATAAGAAAAAGTTGAGAATTAAAGAAAAAGAGAAATAAGAACATAAATGTACAGTTGCTAGCCAGAGAAAAAGTACCAAGAGAATGAGATAAAGTGTAGCAAGTACTTTAAAAAGAATATTTTAAAAAGGAAGAAATACGTGAGCGAGTCAAATTCTGATAGGTCAAAACTATCCAATATCTAGGTCACTGGTGACTTTGGTGGGAACAGTTTTTAGCAAGAAAGAGTCAAAATACAAAGGATTGACAACTAAACAGAAAGTAAGTTAGTAAAAACAATACTTTAAAAAAAGGGAAAGTGTGAGGTCAAGAGTAAGGGTTCATCCTGTGGATATTAACTAAACACTTACAAAGGAAAGAGAATAAAGAGAATAAAGCAGAAAGTACTCTTCTGTCATGAAACTTGCATTCTGGCCAGTGGAGACTTAGAATAAAGATATAAAATTAGATGATGTTAAGCAACTTTAAGTGCTCTCAAGAAAATAAAATAGCTTAAGAAAGCAACTGGGAGTAGGTGAGAGCAATTTCAAATAGGATGGTCAGAGGAGAATTCTGTGAAGACAGAACACAAGCTGAAATCTCAATGAAGAGAAAAAGCCAATCTTATTACAATTATTCAAGATGATGGGAAAAGATGAAAAAATTCACTGGCATTTTAAGTATTGATATACAGTTCTGATTAGCAAAAGCCAACTCATTTTATAAACTGGTTATCAATTTTAATCAAAGCATATGGATGTATAGTAATTATTAATGACTTTAAGATACCCCCCAAAATAATTACTAATGTTGTAGGACAGGCAACATTCACTTTCAGATATAACTACACAGAAAATATTAATGTGTAAAACGAAGTTTGAAAAATATTTCATAGGTGTTTAAGTTAATATCATGCTACTTAATAACAATCCATTAATATACACATCATATATGCAGAACCATAAAGAACATTTCTACATTGGATGAGCAGTAAATATACAGAGAACCTTACTTTTAGCAAATATGTCAACTGGTGATCCATCAGGCAAAAGCCATGGCCAACCTTTGAACTGCCAAGCAGGACCTTGCACAAAAACTGCTACAACTCGGTCCCTATAAGTAGAAAGGGAATTGGGAGAGAGGGGGCATAGGAAGAATATCTCAAATTTGACCTTAGTTAATGTAAATCCCTAAGGAAAAAGTTTCATAATTATCCATGTGATATAATCTCCTATTAATTCTTCTGAAGATACAAATATAGCAAAAACATCACCTTAACTTTTCAACCTGAATTTTAATTACCACTAGACCACATTAATTACTGTACGTCCTTCTCATGCACCTAAGTCTTTCAAACATAATTATACAAACAGTAGTTTTATGTCAACTTTTTAGTTTTTGCTTATATTAATTGGAATAGGGGCCTACTTTTTCATGGCAACAGGGAATACTAGTTAATCTATTAACTGAAAAAGATGTAGTTTTAAAGGGAAGCAATTTAGTATACATCTTAAAACATTTTACTCTAAGTAAAACATGACAGTAACTTGCCATTTTTGACAATCTTATTTTTCAGTTCTTCCAATATGTGGGCAGAAATCTGAAGATACAAACTTCCTTAACTTTCTATAACTTTTCCTACTGTTTTACAATCATTTCATTCACTCTAAATGTTGTAAATTAATTTTTCAAAGTAACTTCTCTTTCCAACCATCCCCAACCATCCAAATTAGTTTTCTAGGAAAGAATAAATCTATTTCTAAGCCCTCATATTTCATTATTTTGCATAATATTTAATTAATCGGAGAAAATATAAGTACTGCCATAAACGTAAGCCTACAACTAAAGAGGTGGGAACAAAAACTATCAACAATAGTGATTAACCTTAATGACAGTTACTATGGGACAGTGCTGTTTTGAGCACTTTACACATTACTCATGTTAATCCATTTAATCTCCAAACCAATTTGCTGAAGTGAATGCCAAATACCCCGATTTTACAGATGAAGAACAGAGGGTATTAGAGAAAAGCCCACAAAAGGCAAAGAAAGGAAGGAAGGGAGAGTAAGAGAGGAAGAAAGAGAATGAAGGAATAGAAGGAATAATTAATCTTGAGCAATAGATATGATATTTGCTCCCATTTGAGGACTGATAAACCATTAGAACAGTCACTCGGCATTATTACTATAGAAACAGCATGGCTTTGCAACTCCTTGTAACAATCTTAGAAATGCAGACTACACTTTGAAAATCACTGCTTTAGATGAAGATTCTGTATATCCAACCAAACATTAAACCAGGGTTACCTGCTATTCAATTTAAAAACCTACAGTGACTGTCAAGGTCTCTATGAAAAACCACAACCTTAAAATTCTTATTCTACACAAGATGTCTGAGGCTAAAATTCGATCTTAAGTAAACAAATTTCTACATTCAGGGATACATGCCCCAAACTGTTAAAAACATCTTTAATAAAGAAACATGTTATTAAATAATCCCTAAATTTTACAACCTAACTTGTCCCATGTATAGGTGAAAGACCTATTGGTACCAAACAAACTAAAGGGAATTTTTCTGGACAGAGGTCACCTACATCCTATTGGGTCTCACAGAATTAGCAGGAAAGCAATATAATATAAATGCTACCCAGTCTCCATGAATTCTTGAAAGGATAATTAAAAGAAGGCAAGGAAAATACTAATTCTACCTATGACACCAATGATAAGACTCTAATCCATATAATTTTATAGCACTGTGATGATACCTGTGCACATTCTTGGAATTATTTTCTCTATATAATGATATCCTGTAAACATACAATACACAGTCTTAACCTTCCTACTAGTTTTAAGCTTAGTATCTGAAATTCTCATCTTACTCACTTTATATGTTACTCAATTATCTGTTACATACTGGAAAGAATTCTAATAAAAGAATCCTTTACTCTTTTATAATTTTTTAACATAATAATATTCTCAATGGCATGAAATCCAAAATTGAAAACTAACAATTACTTCAAAGGTAAATTTCATATAATGTGTCATATGTTCTTTGAAACTCTGAGGCTTCAAATTTTTACTCCAACTTAAATTAATTAAAATTTATGATAATTTGTAATATCTGATTTTATAGGTACTTTAAATTATAAATAGCTTAATATTTGGGTTAAAAGACATTTTAAATAACTACATACTGATAAAAAGAGCTGACCATGTTATTCTTTTCAGTAAATTATGCCCTTACTATGCCATTATTTATATCTTACCAGAAAATCTAAATTCTCCAAATCAAGATTTTAAAATAGAGGACCTTAAGATAACATTAGTCTATTTGTTCTGTCCTTTTTAAAAGCTGATCCAGAAAAAAATAAACAAGTAGAATTTTTTATACTCTAAGTTTTCAGAGGTTAGTGTGGTTCTTCTTATAAAGAAAATAAAGTTTAGCAATTCAAAATGTAAGTTTGTTTAGGTATTCCAAGAATATTAAAATTACTGGTGACCAAATTAGATCTGTATATATTAACAGACTTTTGTTTAGAGCTCATAATAAAATCTAATACTTGTTCAATTTTTAAAAATCAATACTCAAAAAAATTATATGAATATTAAAAAAATATATAKAGAGAGACAATCTTACCAATCTTGAGGCATAAGTTTAAGAGGCTGGTCTACAACTCTATAAGGTACTGTGACACTAATTGCAGTGCCCCCTGGTTGCATTTGATCTTTTCTTCTCTGTATTAGTGTTTCATTTTCTCGTTGACATCCTTGTTTCTTCTTTTCATCTGATGGAACAAATCTTAGCAAAAAGGTGAAAAAAATCAAATGAATTCAGTGTGGTAATATAAGAAAAGTTTATATTTTAAATAATTTCTAAACATCAATGTTTTAAACTAAAAATGCTTACTTTTAAATAAACCAGCCCTGTGTGTACAAAAAATAAAGCCTGGACAGTGTGAATCTTTCCTTTGTATGCCAAATAGAACTCAGACACACACAGATCACAATTTTTGTGTATATAAAAACACTATTCATATTTATTTAATGAGCACTTAGCATTTTCCACACTGATCCTTGGTTTCTCAAATGCCATTAGAAGACAACTTTGTGATAAAGGGAAAAAATCAAGATCACCTAAGAGAAAGTTGACTTCTGGGGTTGGTTAGACACTCTTCTTCACTGGGAAACTTAGCCTATCCTGGAGCTTCACAAAACACCCTATTTACGTTTTATGCTTCAGCAAAATATCAGAAATATCACCGAACTTCAGGACTGCTTTGAGACTTTAGAGTAGGAAAATCAGTGTATGCCAAAAGTTCACTTAAGTAAACACCACTAATACTCTTACTATATGTCCATTGTACCCCCAATAGACATTTTCAAAAATAATCTAACATTCTGGAAAGCTGCTGCCACCTCCAAAATTTGCTAGAGTTCATGAGCATTCTAAATTAGCATCATTTATTACTTAGAGCACAGTCCCTCCTATTCACTGCAACAAGTATCATTTTACTTCAAAATTTTAGGAGACATGAAATGAAAGGTCTTGTAAAAGGGCAAAGAAGATGCATTAGATATTGCATCTGACAGAGTCCCTTGAGAATTTTCAATACCACATACTGGATTCATCATATTAATTTTGTCGTCATGAAAATTTTTAGTACATGTTGATAATGGTAATAGTAACTTCTTGTCTAAACTGACTATTCTCACATCCATTTTATATCTGATGAAAAAGTTAAAATGTTAACATGCTCATATCATTTCAGAATTTCTTCCGGATAAACATTTGCTCCATATAGATTTTGGTTATTTTATTTATTAATCAAGCCCACAATGAAAACATCAAATACAATAATAATGCCTGGAATAATAAAACACTATTTCATAAACTAATTTTTCTTGCATTGTGGGAAAGTGAATTCTAACAAAGTCACAACTAACAAAAACATTAAGTGAAAAATATGTAATACATTGTCCCGTAAATTATACAACATAAATAGTTGTCTTTTTGAACTATGTTCCAGATATACAGAACAAAAGGATCTTACTTCTAATAAAAAGATGCTTTTTCTTTAATTTTTCTCAATCAATCTATACCTAGATGAGGCTAAAATTATTTAAATTCCTAAATACTGTAAGTCTCTCTTTTATGACTTCTAAAATATGGTGTAAAACTATAAAATTATTTGAGAATATAAAATTACTTATAAACTTTGATAATAATGAATTAAAAATATAAATGAGAGATCTATCACAATATCCAATTAATAAAAAGTCTATTAAACACATAAATCAACTTCTGATATCTAAGAAATAAAAATTATATAGCATCTGCATGTTTACATGTTGGTTGCTGTACGTTTTATGAAAGCTCAGAATTTCTCATAGTTTTTAAATTAACCAGAGCACTCAACCTTTTTATACACCCTGGTATTTTAATTTCTGATTTTATCAAGGCATTTTCTTATAGTAGCCCTCCCTGTTAGCAGTAGAAAGCAACTTTATTTCAAAATGCTTTTCAGTCTTATTTTTAGTATAAGGTGAATTCTTCTGGAATTTGATTCGGTACCACACGGAGTCTTCTGTAAACCAAGCAATCCATCTTCATTATAATAATAAATTYACCTTTTTAAAAAAATTCCTTTTGTCTTGATCTCAGAAGATAACATAAGGGTAGACTTTATAACCTCTTCTTCTAAACCTAAGCCAACTAAATGATAAGTATACCATAAGTGATCTATATAGATTCTACTTACTCACCCTACTGTAGTTCATGAAATCTAAAATACCAATGACTATGAGACATACTGTTTATGTTGTTCCTCTATAGGGCGGGGGAGGGGGGGGAGTGGGGCGGGGGGAACCTGCTGGTTTAACTAGGACAATACTTTAACGATACACTACATAAATCAGTACCATTATCCCTCCAAGAATGAGATGATTCTCTGAATTTGAACTGTACTGCTTGATGTTTTGGTAGGAAATCCTCTCACCTGTATCTGAGGAAAAACCTTTCTTAGATTCCATAAAGCATTTGGTGGTTATTTTATAAGAAAATAAGAGATTGAGGTCATTCCTCCAACAARGAAGAGTTCCCAAGTAATTAAGCATGTACGATATTTTTACTGGCATAAAATTTACATATAATAAAATACACAAATTAGTTTCAACAAATGTATATCCATTCCAATCTAGATAAAGAATTATGCAATTCTTCATCAATTCATTAAGTTTTCTTTGCATCTTTCGGTCAGCCAATCATTATGCTTCACTCAATAGGCAAGTATAGTTTTGCCACCACCACCATACACTAGTTTTGCCAGTCCTGGGAATTCATATATACATAATCATAGAGGATATATCCCTTTGTACTTGTCTTCTTTCAATCAGTTTAATGTTCCTAATATTCATCCATCCTATGAAGACTATCATTCTCTTTTACTGCTGAGAATCTTGTCATTCTTCTTCTGGTGGACAATACTCTAGTGTCTTAATCCATCTGGGATGCTACAATCAAAATACCACAGACTGAGTAGTTTATCAACTACAGAAATTTATTTCTCTTAGTTCTGGTGGCTGGGAAGTTCAAGATCAAGATACTGGCACAATTGTAGTCATTGTGAGGGCCTGCTTGACAATTCAGTCTTTTTTTCCTCTGTGTCTTCATCATGAAGTGGGGCAACAGAACTCTCTGAGGTCTATTTCCTAAGTGTACTAATCCTGTTAATGAGAATACAGTTTGCATGATCTAATAACCTTCTAAAATCCCTGCCTCATAATGCCACCAAACTGGTAATTAGGTTTCAACATACAAATTTAGGAGGAAAGGAAATATATAAACATTCAGTCTATACCAGGCTGGTTCCAAAACATGAGTTACTGCAAATAAAGCTAATATAAATATTTTTATATAAGTGCTTGGGTGAATATATGCTTTTATTTTTCTTACTCCTTCCAGTGGAAATATTGGATCACATATTTTTAAAGTAATTAGTTGTATCATTTTATACTTCCACAAAAAATACATGAACTCTAAGCCTAGAGTTTAGCCTTTCTGATGGGTAGCCATTTGTATACCTTCTTTTGTTTCTGCATATTTTAAATGGGATTCTTTTTAAATTTGATCTACAGGAGTTGCTTACACATTCTAGACACAAATCTTTTGCCAGAAATATGTAATTAGAGTATATTCAAAACCATGAAAACTGCATCAGTACTACCACCTAGCCTGAGCAACTCTTAAGATGTCATCAATTGGGGCTGGGGCTAGGGCTCAGGGGTAGAGCACTCGCCTAGCACATGCGAAACCCTGGGTTCGATCTTCAGCACCACATAAAAATAAATAAGTGAAATAAAGGTATTGTTTCAACTACACCTAAAAAATAAAAATAAAAAAAAATCCAGAAACAATGAACAATCCCTTAAAAAAAAAAAAGTCATCAACTATAAGATATAGTCCAGTTTCAGAGAAATTAAATCACGAAAAATAAATGTACATTTTAGCATAATAAAGTACATAATTTCTACCTAATTAAACCAAGTTATGATCAAAGTGCTATATGTGACAGCATTATTCATTTGTCTACATTAGATCACTGTCAATTATCAATATATCTGGTTCTATTACAACTCCATTCTCAGAAATTTCAGTGAGGATAGCAATGATCAGATGAAAGAAAACTGAAGGTGTTAAAGAAAATAGGGCACAAATTAAGCCTATCGAGTTCTAATCAAATATCAGTCTTGGGCTGTGGATATGGCTCAGTGGTAGAGTGCTTGCCTGAAAAGCATGAGGCCCTGAGTTCAATTCCCAGTACCACAAAATCCAAAAACTTCAGCCTAAAAATAGCACACAATAGTATTTTATTGGTATATTAATAAAAATTACTACAGTTCTCTAGTTATAAGGTGACAATCAATATTCAAACATGAATAAAATAATTTTGGTTTTCTAGGCTACCAAATGTTAAATACATCTCTAGAGGTATATTTAAGCATTTATTTGATCTTAAATTTAATACATATTTATTTCACTTTTTTATTCAAAGCAGCATTCAACTTTCTAAATTTAAAAGCAGCCTTTTTTTTTTTAGTATAGTAATTTACATAATCTGCCATCTCCCTACTAGATTTCAGGTCTCTTGAAGATAGAGCCAGTCATTCAGGATATTCATATCAACTATCAATACTGCTCGTCAGTCAGCATATAGTTAAATAATGGATTAACTGAAAACTCCATGTGAAATAATCATTTAGATGAAATTCTGACTTCTTAAGATTTCTAAGTGTTCAGCTGGGTGCAGTGACCTACAATCCCCATAGCTGGGGAGCCTAAAGCAGGGGAATACCAAACTTAAAGAGACTTTGCCTCAAAATTTGAAATAAACAGAGTGGGGGACTGGGGATGGGGCTTTGTGGCAAAGCACCTTTGGGTTCAATCCCCAGTACAAAAAAAAAAAAAAAAATTCTAAGTATTCGGACTTCCATTCAGGAATTATGACAATTGTATCTATGTACATGTAAGAGGGTTTAAGGAATAGTAAGTTAAGATGAGTTAATATTAACATATTATGACCTTTAAAAACTGTCTTGTATTCTGTTTCTGGTATGATAATATGACAGACTTACCTAGTAACTGGAACATTTCCAAAGAGAAAAAAATAAAACTTATTAATTGAGTACAAAAAAATTTTAAAGGCATCTCTGAGCTAGCTACAATAAAGAAAGAATATTTGGACAAAAATGAGTGACAAAGGGAATGCAAAGAAGAATGAATGACATTGCTGTCTGCTAACTACAGAAGTCACTCAGAAACCAATTAAATCTCATCTTTGTTTCTCACATTTCACTAGTCTCCTAGAATAGGAAACTGAGCTCCAAGCCTGCTCAATGTAAGGAATCTAATCGGAGTTCCTTTCCTCATGAAGAGGGACTCAATACAACAGTAAACTAGAAACAGTAAACTAGTAAACTACCACTCATCTTCATTCCTATCCATGCCTTAACCCATACCTTGGCATTTACAAAGAAAAATGTTTCAAAACTGTATATACGGTAAGAATAACATCTGGATGTTAAAAATCTCAAAACTGAAAATTCAATTTAAAGTGATGCTAGATTGGTAATGTTCCCAGGTGCTTATTTAGCAAATCGTCTCTGTAATACTCCCACATTTGCTTGAAACTCAAAGAATTAGCATACGAAAAAAAATTCCAAGGAACATCTAAAGAGATAAGAGCCAAATCTTCCAGAAATGATGAAAAGCGACAACTCATAGATTCATTCTAACAAATGCCAAGTGAGATGTATAAAAAACAAGTCCATATCTAAGTACAGTAGATCAACAAAGGGAGCTAGGAGATAGAGCAATAGTATATTCAATATTCTGAGAAAAAAATATTATTTTCCAAAGTGGCCATACCATTTTGTATTATCTGCAATTGTTGGGAACAAGAACTATTTTCATTCAAATACAAGCTCCAGTAATTGTTCTGCCTGCTTTCTTTCCCGATGGCTATTTCCCAGGTCACAATAGATCCCTCATGGGCATAAGCACAACAGTATTTGGTGAATGCAAGGGAAACCCTCTTCATACTGTTGGAGTACTATGTGTGTGCAATCTCTCCTACTTGGAACCCTGCCCTGAGAAACTACTATCATGGCCAGAATCATATGTTTCATCTAATCAGTTTATCATGTTTGTAGAAGTAAAGTGCATCTGTTAATATTTCTATAATATGACCTTAATTTTATTATTTAGAATGTTAAAGGTTAAGCTGAGTTTTATTTTTTGTTTCATTTACTTACTGATGGGCTAGAAAACTGAAGAATCCTCAATTTTACATAAAACCAAATAGAATCTATGCCAACTTGAACTATGGGTTACAGCCAACACTATAATTGTGTGGAGGAGGTTTCAATTATGCATTAATTACATAGCAAAGCCTCCAGCTGACTCAAACGGTAGGGAAGATGTCAGTTGCAATGAGGTGTTAAACAATGAAGGGAGTGATTTAAACTTGGAAGAAAAATTAGGCATGATATATCCTAAAACTGTAGTTTGTTTAATTGTTTGGCTTCTCTATAGTAAGGCTACAAAGAGAAAGACACTAAAGTTTCCTTTAAAATTTCTTTGTACTAAAAATATTAGATTTGTAATATATTAAGATGAACACCGAAAATGTGGAGAATGAAGAACTGAAGACAGAATTTGTAACATTTTTAAAACAACAAAACATATTCATAAAAAATAAATAATAGTTGTCAATTACTAAAAACTGAAAAATGGATAATGCCAAATTTGTACATCATAAAATGACTTCAAAGGAGGCTTAAAGATCACCTGATACAAAAATAGTTAAGGTGTAAAACACTCAATGGAAGCCAGGTGCAGTGGGGGATGCCTGTAATCCCAGCAGCTAGGGAGGCTGAGAAGGAAGATCGAAAGTACAGGGCTAGCCTCAGCATCTCAGCGATACCATGTGTCTAAATAAAAATATAAAAAAGGATTGGGATGTAGCACAGTGGTTAAGTAATGCCCTCAGTTTCAATCCCCAATACCAAAAACAAAACAGACAAACAAATAAAACCACTCAGTATTAAATGTAATGAAGCATCATGGGAACCTAAGTCAAGTTCCAAGAGTAGCTATGACTATTATATTTATCAAAAACAAAGGAATATAATAGTACAGACACAGTAAAATAATGGCAGTTTCAAAAAAAATTCTCTCATATTCAAATGCTAATTAGATACATAAGTTCCCTATTCTCTAATTTTCTCACTGTGTTCCCTTCTTCTTTTCTTTTTCTTTCCTGAAACATTTGCTTAATATCCATTTTTAGGCAAACACTGTTTAAAACAATGTAGCTACAAATATGAATAGAATAACAAGCCCTTTTCTCTGAAGAACACAAAACTATTTTAAAAAACCCAAAAGGAGATCAGTAAGACAAGGCAACCATCACCAAAAAGAAAACAGATGTGTATCTTATTTCACAGATTATAAATAATGAAAAATTGCCTTTTCTATATTAGAAGGTGGAAAGGAGACATGAATGCTCATAAAAACACTAAACATTTTTTTAATCGGTTAATGCAATCCATTTTGCACTGGTTTGAATTTCCATTATATTATCAAACTTAAATGAATAAAACAATGTATAGATATACTTGTATGTGCCAGGCTACCTATATTTTGTAAAGAAAATTAGTTAAATTGAAGGCACCCTTTAAAACTAAATTCTGTGTGTAGTAAAATTTGAAATGAGAGAATAGTAATTTATTGGTTTCATTTTTTAATCAGTCCTAAGTTATTTCAGAGCCAGATGATATTTTCTTCTTGGAGGGGAGGTTGCTTTTATTTTCCTCCTTAAATAATTATCATTATTACTCTACTGAGAAAAAAGTCGGAGACTCTACATTCTTCTTTTGAATATTATTTGTTGTTGAATAAACATTTTCCTAGTTATCACTGGAAATATATTGTACAAAACTGTCAATATTAGATATTTCAGATTATAAAATATCACTGAAGTTAGGGCTTATTAAATTTTGTGGAGGAGTCTCTCTTGTTTTTGATGGTTATCACATAACTCTCAGACCAAAATAAAACTCCATTTCTTAAAGTAAATATTTATTAGGTGTCTCCATGTCCAAAGGGCAATACTATTAAACTGGTGTTCAGGAGACCTGATTTTATTTCCTGCTTTGCAACTAACTGGCAGAATTAAATAAAAGGCCGAATAGCCTTTAAGGTTCTTTCATCTCTGTGTTTTCAACCAGGAATAAAAGTCAAATTAGATGTATTCTGCAGCCGTTTTAGGTCTAGAATTGTGGAAAATAATAAGTTTCAACTACCTCTTCAACAAAAAGCACTATTATGTGTATTCTCATTAAAATCATATAATTTGTGAGAGATGCTACATAAAGCTTTTAATGGTTGATAACTGTTGAGGTCTGATTTGATTCTAAACCTATCTGCAAGACATGATTCATACTTGTAAAGTATCAAAGGACGTTATATTTTCAGGTATGGCACTGAAACTGGTTTTTATACCAAGTGCTAGAACAAATACTATTTTATCAGTTGAAATGAATGACTCATAACCCACTAACACCACAATCATATGAGCTCCTAGAAGGTTAGGTTTGTCATGTATTTGTCTACATAGTAATTCACTCTTGAGTTATACTGCTATATAGATGTTTGTTCCCAATATATGCAGCAATCTCCCAAGCAAGTTATCACTAGATTACATCTGAATCTCTTAGCTGAGGTATTAGCAAAACTGATAAAAGATTTTAAACATTTCTAATGCTGAGTGTACCCCAAACCCAAAGAACATATTTATTGCTAAAGAGGCAAATATTTTATGAAATATTCTGCATTTTTAATTCTCCTCAGGTAAGACTCAAACTTAATGAAGAAGCATGAATTAAATTTGTTGTTGCTGTTACAGATTAATGTACATCTAACAGCAGACTAATAACAATATCTAAAGTAGAATAAATATATTTTATGAACTTCAAGTTCCAATAACGCAGTATACCTGATAGTATAAAACCAGCTACTTTATAAACACCCAGAAATGCTAGATACAATGTAACAAATACATGAAATGCAAAATAACTGAGCTAGAAAGAAAATCATCACTTCTATAGGAAGAAAAACTGACAAGCCATCCAATGCACTGGTATTGCAGAGAAACTGTAGGCATTTATGTTTTTTTTTGGTTTTTCAAAACTCACAAAGACAAAAAGGAACTACAGCTGGAACCTACAAAAAGTTACATTATCAGTTGTGGGGGGGAGGGGGATTTTACTCAGACTTTTCCAATCAAATGTCAAAGAAGCATATCTATCTTGATCTGACTCTTCAATTAGGGGAAGAAGAACTCCTAGATGATTTGTGGGCCAAGGGTCCATCTCCATGTCACTCAGAACTGATCCAAATTTGAATCTATACTACCCTAGTAAATCAGAAATTCTCAAATTGAGAATTTAACACAAAAATCAGCTAAGTCTTTGGGTATTGGAGCAGCTGGCAAAAAAGAATGACAAAAATCACTGGAAGGACATGCCTTCAACCTCAAATTTCTTCAAATAAAACCATGTTAAAATTAGTGAGCTACAGTTCAAATTCATAACAAACATCCAGATTAAATGACCTGGGTACATAATACAAAATGGATAATTTGACAACTTTGATTTCATTAAATACTGTAAGAAAGTACCAAATACTATGAAAATGTTATAGCAGAATATAGTTAACTCCCCTATACAACCAGTAATTATATTACCTCTCTTATCTTCCCAAAATATTGTATACTTTGAGTTCTTCTACTTTCTTTCCCCATATTACAAAACGCACTCTGACAGAAGAATTCCTTGAGCTCTCTGTTTCCCAGTAGCCATGAGCTGAGCAGCTTCATGTCCTCTACCCTGGTATTCCATCTGACCTCAGGCCCATGTCGAAACATGAACTGAGACCACTGAAACTATAAGCCAAAATAAATTTTTCTTCCTGTCCTAGCAATGAAAAGCTAACTAACACATTTATTAGAATAAACTTAGTACACTATGACTGTGATCTTTAAAAAAAGAAATGGGGAAGAGACACTTAAAATTTCCAAGTTTACAAGCATTTGTAAATTTTAATATAGGGTATATGTTTCATATTCACTTCTTTCATCTTTATTATTACATTTCCTTTTCATTTTCACTCAGCTTTTACTGCTATCAAGGTTAAACAACTATGCTTCCCCACTTGCCTGCCTCCTCCAACTATATATTTAATATACTGAAAGAACCTTCATTTGCTTTGGAAACTTTTTCAGATGTTCAGGGAAAAATCAAAACATAATTTAGGATGGGGATGTGGTTTGAACAAGGTCCCAGGTTTAATCCCCAGAACTGTGCCAAATACAAAACAAAACTAACAACATAATTCATTTTAAGAGTCAATAAAATAGTATCCTTCTCATTAGGACTTTAGCCAGCTTTTCTGTAACTTTCTCTAAAGGATGCAGATACAAAAATTATACGTGAAAAATTATTCTTTAGCTATCAAGTAAAACTTTGTTTTTGTTTTCTTCAAATAATACTAAATTAGTAACTAACTCCTGTATCTCACTGTCTTATAAAAAGATTTTTTTAAAAAAAAATTACTTACTTCAGATCTTGTAGAAGGTCTTTTGCATTAAGCATGGTTATTAAAGAGGTGGTAGCTGCGGGAATTATAATAATGGGTGTTCGAGATCCTGGAAGAACACAATTTTAAAGGTAACAAATTTATTATTATTATTACTTATTGTTATTAAAAGGAATTATACTTATTTCGCTAAAAATTAAAAGCTAATAAATGCACAATTTTAATTGGGGGGGGGGCACACCGGGACTGGGGACTAAACTCAGAGGCACTCAACCACTGAATCATATCCGCAGCCCTATTCGTATTTTTTATTTAGAGACAGGGTCACTGAGTTGTTTAGTGCCTTACTGTTGCTGAGGCTGGCTTTAAACTCACAATCCTCCTGTCTCAGCCTCATAGGCCACTGGGATTACAGGTGTGTGCCACAGTGCCCGGCACAATTTTGATTCTTTTGAGCTAAAAAAAAAATACATTAAGCCTGGGGATGTGGCTCTTTCCCTGGAACCAAAATATACGAATGTATGTATGCACACATAACATATTTGAAGCCAACAATAATAGTAAAAATGGTTAATCATCAGTATAGTTTAAGCACTGACTAATAAGAAATGATACCAACCACACATATTTGATATAGCTGCACAAATATTTTTAGCCCTGGTTTTGCAACCTAGTTCATACACATTTACTTTCTAAAATAAATTTAAAATCATGACCTCACCTTTCTTCTGATTTGGAGGAGGTCTTGCTTGAGAAACTGTAAGAAGGAAAGAAAAACAAATCACAATTGAGTTTTCTAAAACTTATATCTTTATTTTCATATTTAAAGGAGGCTTACATATTATCTGTGGTAAATACTATTTATATTCACATATAACTAGTTGTAAAATAAAAAACATACAAAACATCTTAAATAATGTTATTCCTGCTTCATAAAAATATTAAAATGTCTCAGCATAACTCAATAATCTGTAGTTACAAGAAAGGTAGATACATTACATTGCATTATAATATGTTCATGGATGTTCAAGTCTGGCAAGCAAAGAAATGATGTGATAATTATTATCCATGTTGTAAATGTAGAAACATTACTGCATGTAACACTGTGGAAAATGGTAATACACCTAACATATGAATGAAAGAAAGGAATCGTTGGAAGTTAAGATCTAAAGTATGTCTCACATTTTTTTTTCTTTTTTTTAAATTGCTTCTTGGTTTTTATTGAGAGGAAAAGAGCTTTTAAAACTAGCATATTTGAAGAGCTATATTACCTGAAAATAATTAAGTAATTATTGTTATGCTATTAAAAACACAAGTACATACATATCCTTTTGCTATTTATATATGTAACAGACTTTAAAACATAGAAATATTTACTGACATAATGGCGATAACAACTTAATACATGTGAATATTTGTGATTAAAAACGCATGTTCAATTTTCAATATTTATCCATGTAATAAAATTTTACCAGTTGTTTTCTATGTGCCACATGCTATGCCAAATTTTTTTAATTGCAAAAATAACAATTTAGAGGACTGAATATACTCATTTTATCTGTATGGTTCTATAATGGGAAAAACAAGACATAAACACCTGTAAAGATCATGGAACTATTAGCACAAAATGCTTTGTATATAATGTATGCAAATTTAAAAAAAATCATTTAGGAGGATAGAGAGCTCTCAGATGGACTGCAAAATGTGACAAGAGACTCTAAATGTACTGCAGTTGTATAAATCAAAGAAGCAGGGAAGTCAAATTAGCTATATAAGACTAGAGGTAAAAAGAATATACCTAAGAACTATAATCAAGCTGGTAAAGTTGTTACAATAACATGATTTAACAGTTCTGCAACTACTGTGCTTACAGACACTGGAATTAAGTGAATGGTAGATAGTAGGGGGGAAATCTAATTCAATATCAGTTCTTAAAGATTGTAGGATAGGGAGCAGGAGCATGGGAGGAATAGACAAACTCTAAGATAGGGCGGAGGGGTTGGAGGGAAAGGGGGAGGCATGGGGTTATTAATGATGGTGGAATGTGAAGATCATTATTATCCAAAGTACAGGTATAAAGACATGGATTAGTGTGAATACACTGTGTATACAACCAGAGATATGAAAAAATGTGCTCTATATGTGTAATAAGAATTGTAATGCATTCTGCTGTTATATATAAATTTAAAAAATTCTACCTTTAAAGGGAATAACACAAAACAAACATTTTAACTAATTGTTCACACTCTTCTGTATAGATATTTTATTGTGATAAAACAGAATTCAGCAGAATGAACTTTTCACCCATAAATACAAGCTCAGACATATACATATTTAACATCATCGCATTTTTCTTCTGAGAAAAAAAAGTAAAGTTGTCTTAAATCATTTTTAGGATTAGAGCTTACAAATAAATCTGTTTAGTTAGTATCATCTGGTATATAATATAGTCTCAGTTATATTGGAAGTATAGGGATGACAAGACGAACAGATGACAGAAGCAAGCAGGGGTTTCCATCATCGTTATAAAATTGAGTTCAAGCTAAAGTTAATCAAAAGGGATAAAGAAGTACATTTCATACTGTTCAAGGGAATCATACACAAACAAGACATAACAATTATAAATATATATGCCCCAGACAATGGAGCATCTACGTTCATCAAACAAATTCTTCTAAAGTTCAAGAGTCAAATTGACCACAACACAATAATCTTTAATATTCTTCTTTCACCACTGGATAGATCTTCCAAACAAAAGATAAACAAAGAAACTACAGAACTCAATAGTACAATCAATAACTTAGACTTAACTGACATATAYAGAATATTTCATCTTTCAATAAGCGAATACACTTTCTTCTCGGCAAGACATGGATCCTTTTCTAAAATAGATCATTTAATATACCACAAAGCAACTCTCAGCAAATACAAAAAAGTAGAGATACTAACCTGCATTTTATCAGATCAAAATGGAATCAATTAGAAATCAATGATGAAATAAAAATAAAAATTACTCCAACACCTGGAGATATTTAAATAACATGCTACTGAATGAACAATGAGTTGCAAAAGACATCGAGGAGGAGTTTCAAAAATTCTTACAGGTAAATAAAAACACTAACACAACGTATCAAAATCTCTGGGAGATTATGAAGGCAGAACTAAGAGGAAAGTTCATTGCATGGAGCTCATTCCTTAAAAGAAGAATAAGTCAACAAATAAATAACCCAACATTACATCTCAAATCCCTAGAAAAAGAAAAACAAATCAATCCCAAAACCAGTAGAAGACAGGAAATAATTAAAACCAGAGCTGAAATCAATGAAATTAAAACAAAAGAAAAAACGGAAAATTGACAGAACAAAAAGGTGGTTCTTTGAAAAAATAAATGAAATTGGCAGACCCTTAGTTATGCTAACAAAGAGAGAGAGAAAATTCAAATTACTAAAATGTAATGAAAAAGGTAATATCACAACAAACACTACAGAAATACAGAGGATAATTATCTTGAAAACTTGTACTCCAATAAAATAGAAAATATTAAAGGTATTGACAAATTTTTAAGTCATATTATTTGCCCAAATTGATGATGTACACAATTTAAACAGACCAATATCAAGCAATGAAATAGAAGACGCCTACCAATCAAGAAAAGCCCAGGACCCAATGGATATACAGCCATGTTCTACAAAACCTTTAAATAAGAACTAATACTAATACTCTTCAATTTTATTCGGGAAACAGAAAAAGAGGGAGCACTTCCACACTCATTCTATGAGGCCAATATCATCACCCTGATTCCAAAACCAGGCAAAGATAAATCAAAGAAAGAAAACTGCAGAACAATATCTCTAATGAACATAGATGCAGACATTCTCAATAAAATCCAAGCAAATTGAATACAAAAACATATCAAAAAGATAGTGCAGCATTATCAAGTGGGATTCATCCCAGGGATGCTACTAGGTTGGTTCAACACATGGAAATCAATAAATATAATTCATCACATCAATAGACTTAAAAGATAAGAATCATATGATCATCTCAATAGATGAAGAAAAAGCATTCAACAAAATACATCAGCCCTTCATGTTCAAAACCTTAGAAAAAAYAGGGATATCAGGAACATACCTCAACATTATCTATGCTAAGCCCCAGGCCAACATCATTCTAAATAGAGAAAAAATTGAAAGCATTCCCTCTAAAACCTGGAATAAGGCAGGAATGCCCTCTTCCACCACTTCTATTAAACATAGTTCTTGAAACTCTAGCCAGAGCAATCAGACAGATGAAAGAAATTAAAGGGATACACATAGGAAAAGAAGAACTCAAATTATCCCTATTTGCAGACAATATGATTCTATACCTAGAAGACCCAAACATTCCACCAGAAATCTCCTAGAACTAATAAATGAATTCAGCAAAGTAGGTGGATCTAAAACCAACACCCATAAATCAAAAGCATGTCTGTACATCAGTGACAAATCCTCTGAAAGAGAAACTAGGAAAACCACCCCATTTACAATAGCCTCAATAAAATAAAATAAAATAAAATACTTGGGAATCTACTTAACAAAAGAGGTGAAAGACCTCTACAATGAAAACCACAACACACTAAAGAAATTAAAGAAGACCTTAGAAGATGGAAAGATCTACCTTGTTCTTGGATGGGCAGAATTGATATTGTCTAAATGACCATACTACCAAAAGCACTATACAGATTCAATCAATCCCAATCAAAATCCCAATGGCATTCCTCATAGAAAAAGAAAAAGCAGTCATGAAATTCATCTGTAAAAATAAGAGACTCAGAATAGCCAAAGCAATCTTTAGCAAGAAGAGTGAAGCTGGTGGCACCACTATATCAGACCTCAAACTATACTACAGAGCAATAATAACAAAAACAGCATGGTATTGGCAYCAAAATATACCTGTAGACCAATGGTATAGAACAGAGGACACAGAGACTAACCCACATAGCTACAGTTATCTTATATTAGACCAAGGCACCAAAAACATAATTGGAGAAAAGTTAGCCTCTACAACAAATAATGCAGGAAAACTGGAAATCCACATGTAATAAAATGAAATTAAACCTCTATCTCTCACCATGCACAAAACTCAAAGTCGATCAAGGACCAGGGAATTAAACCATTCAGCAAAGTAGGTGGATATTTCAGAGGATTTTCTTTTAGACCCTGCATCTAATAGAAAAAAAAGTAGGCCTTAATCTCCAGCATGTTGGATTAGGCCCCTACTTCCTTAGTAAGACTCCTATAGCGCAAGCATTAATATCAAATATTAATAAATGGGATGGATTCAAACTAAAAAGCTTCTTCTCAGAAAAAGAAACAATCAGTGAGGTGAATAGAGAGCCTACACCTTGGGAGCAAATTTGTACCTCTCACATATCAGATAGTGCACTAATCTCTATGGGATATAAAGAACTCAAAAAGCTAAACACCAAAAAATAAAAAATAATAACCCAATCAATAAATGGACCAAGAACTGAACAGATAATTCTCAGAAGGTGATATACAATCAATCAACAAATCTATAAAAAAATGTTCAACATCTCTAGCAATCAGAGAAATGCAAATCAAAACTACTCTAAGATTTCATCTCACTCTAGTCAGAACGGCAGCTCTTAAGAATACAAACAACAGGGGCTGGGTTTGTAGCTCAGTGGTAGAGCGCTCGCCTACCACGTGCGAGGCCCTGCGTTCAATCCTCAGCACCACATAAAAATAAATAAAT